TCCTGTTTCACTGATCCCATGGTTAAGTTGTTTTTAAGGGGTGTTGCGAATGTGAGACCACCGGTGGCCCCTATTGCCCCGGGGTGGAGTTTGGATTTGGTATTGTCTAAATTAGTGAGGCCTCCCTTCGAACCAATGGCAACCGCAGATCTATCTTACCTGTCGTGGAAAACGGCGTTCTTGGTTGCAGTAACATCTGCGCGTAGGGCAAGTGAACTAGTTGCTTTGAGGGTAGATCCACCCTACTTAAGATTCCATAAGGATAAGGCTGTGCTTCGCACAGACATTGCCTTTTTGCCTAAGGTATCTACTCGATTTCATTTATCGCAGGACATAATACTACCCGCATTTTTTCAGAACCCCACATCTCCTAACGAGAGGAGCCTACATTTATTGGATGTCAGGAGAGCCTTGGCGTTTTATGTAGATAGGACAGCGTCACTAAGACGTACTCCCAGACTCTTTGTAAAGTACCGTAGGGATGCACTTGGTATGCCGTTGTCTTCCCAGAGGTTGTCAGGTTGGGTTGTGTCTCTGATCCGGTTGTGTTACCGCATGGCCGGGAAAGAATTGCCCCAACAGGTCAAGGGCCATTCGACGAGATCGATATCTACGTCAACTGCGTTCCTGAGAGGTGTTCCGTTGGATACCATTTGCCGTGCCGCTATCTGGTCATCTCCGCTGACGTTCGTGAGCCATTACAAGTTGGACGTCGCTTCCAGGAAGGAGACGGAATTCGGCAGAGCTATTCTGTTTTCGGCTGTGGCATGACTCCCACCATCCACGGTCAGTAGCTCGCTATTCTACCATATGTGCGATTCACAGGAACTACGACAGGAAATTATAAGTTGCTTACCTGTAACTGTAGTTTCCTGAGTAGTATCCTGTGAATACGCACATCACCCACCCTCCTCCCCTCTTGGGTCATGCCGTCTCTAGAAGCTTCGCAGCAAAAGAGAACTGAGGGACGGCCACGACCGTGGGCTATATATACACGGGGGGGGGGCGGGGGGCGCGTGGCCTGAGGGAGTCCTAACTGTCACTTTTTAATCTCTAGAAGGTTCCGATCGCTGGACTGCGCAGGCGCAGGGTTACCATATGTGCGTATTCACAGGATACTACTCAGGAAACTACAGTTACAGGTAAGCAACTTATAATTCATGGAGATGGGAAAGCGCCAATGTTGTCTTAGGGCACCAGCCACCCCTGGCAACAGCTCCCATTTCCCTACCCAGGCATTAAAAAAGCCTGGAAGTGGTGCCATGGAGGAGTAGAGAGGCTTCTACTTTGAGTGGTCCTCAAAGATTTTAAGCAGAGGGCCGATTCATGGTCCCTCAGACTGTTGGGAGAGTGGACTTTGGTTTGAAAAAAATGAACAAATTTCTGTGCACACTGCACATATCTTATTTGCAGTGCAAAAAAAAAAAGGAAGAAGAAAAAGAAAGAACAATACAATGTTTAAAATGAAGAACAATTTAGCCAACATAAACCAGTATTTCAATATGAAGTGTGGGCCTGCTTTTGGTTGATGAGACAGTCAAGTTTATTGGGATTGTTGTTGTTCTGTGCCTTCAAGTCATTTCAGACTTAGGGTGACCCTAAGTTTAAAGTTTAGGCAGGGGCTGGGTGAATGACCGTTGGGGGGGGGCATATATGGCCCTTAGGCCACAATTTGGTGAGCCCTGTTTTAGGTTCTCCCGGGATGGACTAAGCTTTCGCTAAGATAGGGCATGGTTACTTTTTTGATAAGTACTCAGATTGGCTCAGTATGGGCTTCAATAATGGGAAAGATTGGGAAGCAGAGTTTTCTGGAATATGAGGAACGAATGGCTGTAATCCAGTTGTAAGGGACGTACAGTACTTTGCATGTACAAAGGACATCTCAGTTTTGAGCTTCATTTAAGCGGTTTGACAGATATGCCAGGCAAATGAATCCACTGTATTAAATGAGAAATTTCAAAATGAGCTGAGTTGTCTGAAATTCTGCAAAAGAATCATAGAAGGCCCATGTTAATTGTTGTAAATTAGATGCTATGTTGTTAATTTTAGATTTTGTAAGGCAGATTGTTCTAGTGGTCCTGTAGCGTGCCTCTACTTCCTTAGACTTCTCCTGAAACTATGAGGTGTAACAAAGATGTTGAGTAAGATGACAGGGAAGAGGAACAGATCAGAGAGGAACTTCTCGGTCGTTCATTACTTTATAAAGTGGGACTAAGAGATTGCAAGAAGGTAGTGAAATGCTTGATTGGTTGTTTGGTTATTTTGTATGTATTAATTTTGTGGATGACAGATTCTGCCCAGCCAACATCTAACATTTTGAAAAAGGCAAAGAAGCTGTACGATTCAGAGAAGTATAGTCCAAAGAAGTAAGGTCCCAAACTCTGCTTGAAAGGATCAAATAATAGAAGCAACCTCGTGTTCTCTTTAGTAATAAGGACTGCCTGTTCATAACCATGGTTAAAGAAACCATTTAAAAACGTACATGAGAACTTTATGTTTCTTGAGGTGTGTCCACTTACAGGTTGCTGGAACTTGCCTTGTAGTTTTTCACTACTGTAGATTCTCTTGGTGATAATATCAAGCAGCTTGACTTGAACTAGACTCATTGAATTGGAGAGCTGCAACAATGGCGATTATGGGGAAAGCTCTCACTGTGCATAGTTTTCTTATGCATGAATGAATAGCAACCAGGGATCATGTCCCCTACATCCACTGGTGAAAGATAGATGGGGGCTTTAGAATACTAGAGACAGACTCTGCGAAACTGAGTTGTACAGCTGGGTTTTGGTTTGTCAGACAAAACATAATACAAAAATAAGTAGAGCTTAGAAAAATAAGAGTATCAAATTTCAAAATCCATATGGGGAATAATTTCAGGGATGATACAGAGGTAGGATTGCACCATAAGAGTGCTAAAAATAGGCTTTCTGTACCATGAGTTCTTTGATCCATCTTCCAGGAAATTCTAATTCTTTTACTAGACAATCATTATGGTATTGTTCATATGTACACTGCTGTCCTGAAAATGCCTTGTTCTTGTGATGCTTCCAGGAATATCAGGAATCTAGTCTCAATAGTTAGTAAACCTGCCTTTCTAGGTCAGGCCTTCCTTTAGTGTACAATGATATCTTGAGGCAACTGACCAAAGATGAAATACTTGAGAAACTGGCTTTTTGCATTTTATCACCAGCCAATAATCTCTCTGTCTTTCACTATCATAACCAGGAATCCTAAGAGTCTAATTCATCTAGAATAAACCTCGTTGAATCAGTTGTTAAATAGAATCATAGAATGAAAGAGTTGGAAGAGACGCAATGGGCCATCCAGTCCAACCCCCTGCCAAGAAGCAGGAATACTGCATTCAAATCACCCCTGACAGATGACCATCCAGCGTCTCTTTAAAAGCTTCCAAAGAAGGAGCCTCCACCACGCTCTGGGGCAGAGAGTTCCACTGCTGAATGGCTCTCACAGTCAGGAAGTTCTTCCTCATGTTCAGATGGAATCTCCTCTCTTGTAGTTTGAAGCCATTGTTCCGTGTCCTAGTCTCCAGGGAAGCAGCAAACAAGCTTGCTCCCTCCTCCCTGTGGCTTTCTCTCACATATTTGTATATGGCTATCATAAATGGCAGATCAACGCATCAGTAAATACAACTGATTATGTGGCTCTGCTCTAGACTAGCTACAAGATTCAGCGCATAGAATCCAGAATACTTGTATTATATTTGTTCATCTCCTCTGGGAGGTTTTCCAGGAAAATACATGGCTAAGATGTTATTACTCTTGGAGACATTTTAATATATTTAATTGTATAAATGAGGAAAGTGACATGCTATATTAATATTAATTTATATTAATTGAACTATTTACATTGTTCATTGAATGTATGGTTATTAGTAATACTGTTTTAACTCACCTTATGAACTGTTGTGGGATAGACGTAACAACTGAACCTTCAAGCAGTAACACGATAACATGAGGTCCAAATTGAATTTTATTTTTTTTACTATACAGTGTTATGGTTTGTCAATGATTTGGATGCATCTTGAGAGGGTTAAAACCAGCAGACACCTTCTGGTGGGGAAAATGATTTTTTGTGTGTGTCAGAAGTGACTTGAGAAACTGCAAGTTGCTTCTGGTGTGAGAGAATTGGTTGACTGCAAGGACGTTGCCCAGGGGATGCCCAGATGTTTTACCATCCTGTAGGAGGCTTCTCTCATGTCCCTGCATGGGAAGCTGGAGCTGACAAACAGGAACTCACCCTGTCTCGCAGATTCAAACTGCCAACTTTCAGGTCAGCAGTTCAGGTGGCACAAGGATTTAACCCATGGCACCATGAGTTCTACTTACACAGGAAGCTGCAATCTAGCAGACAAGTTTTTTAATGAAGCCTACCATGCCTCTTCTCATATTGTTCCCAACCATCTTTCAATTCTTTGTAATAGCTTTGCAGGGAAACAAAAGACTGCAGTGGAGAAGAGGGCTTGTCAAAAAACTACCTCCTTTGCCACTTCTTTGAGCTCAAGTTTGAGATCTCCATTCATGGATATTTAGCTCCAACTGGAAGACATGAATTATTCTCTGGAATCCAAATTAAATTCCCTCGGTAACAAAACAGGGATGTATTAGTCTTGAACTGTATCAAAACAAAAAAATGTTGGTATCGCCAACACGCTCATTTGCTCTGTATAATTTCTGTTCTCCTCTGTGGAGCTGAATTCTTAAGATAAATCAACTTGAGGAAATTTGTGAAAGCAAGGTTTCCGGTTTCTCCCTCATGTAGCCGGCTTTTCCCCCGAAGAGCCTCCCTATCCTCTGCCCCAATGTGACGTGCGTTTGTGTGCAGAAAACCACAGTGTTGTGGATAGGAACCTCTTCTGAGATCTTCCTTAAGCTATTTTAAGAACTAAGCCTATGACTATGGAATAAGACAAAATGAAAATCAGATGCATGGAATTGAATATTTATTTCGGCATTTTTGTAACTATTTTGTAATTATTACAGGGCCTGAAAACCCCTGGCTTGTATATGCATACATCTCTGCTGCAAAGCATCCTTTTGGTTGTATTATGGCTCAAGAAGTGTTTCAGAGTGGCATTATCCCTGCAGAAACAGATTTCCGCATTTACCGAGATTTTGGCAATATCCCAGGTATGTTGGACAGATGCTGTTAGTACTGACAGGGAGCTTGACTTTAAATAGATGGCAAGAGAGGAACAATGGAAAATGAGTAGCAAGGAGATCATCCCTATGAAAATGCAAGTAGAAGCTTATGATTTAGAATTTTAGTTTAGAGGTTTTGCTTTCAGCATAACTAGAAAAAACATTCTGATGGATGTTTTTCATTGGTTTCAGTTTAACAGCAATAAACTGGAATTTGAAAGTACTGTATTGTGACGTTCTGACATATCATTGTGTGGATCTACACTATGCTATATTACAGGATCTGATCCTAGATTATCTGCTTTGAAATGGATTATATGAGCCTACATTGGAATAAGCAGATTATCCAGGAGCAGATCCTAGGATATAGGGCGGTGTAGATCCAGCCATTGAAAACTTGAGCACTGTGCTGCTGCTTGGTGCTAAAGCCTCTTGCCGGAAATCATCGACAATACGTTTTTAAAAAGTGTAATACTTAAAGCATATATATATTTCAATAGAAATCTTGTGTTTCTTTACTTCATTTTGGTTGAATTGCAGTGAAGTCCATTTCAACTTGCTCCATACAAGATATATGAAATCAGATCCTTGTTGGTATAAGTTATTTAGTATCCTGTATTTACCCCAGTTTGGAGGTCAAGGTGGCTTACAGAAAGGTTTAAAACAAAATACAATACAACTCTCATACCTACAGGTTCCATATCTTTGGTTTCACCTATCTTCATCTGACAAAATATGTCCTCTCTATGAATTTTCTGGGTCACTATAATCCACAATTTTTTTGTATCTATGGTAAGTTCAGGAATGGAGTGAGGGTGTCATAGTGTACAAACTGTTGTAGAAAAGTTTTAAAACAAATAAGCAAACAAATTAAAACTATTTAAAACAGTTTAAAAAGCATTTAAGCATAGCAGTGAAGATAAAAGCACAGCACTCATTCAAAGAGCCTTCAATCACAATGAGTTAACAGGTATTTTTTTTTAAAAAAAAAAGAGGTCAGAGACGGAACTAACCTAAGCCACCAAAATCCTCCTCATCAAATATTCCTATGGTGGTGTTGAAACCAAGATAAAGTATTTTCCCCCAGGCTGTAAATCTCAGGTTAACTAATATAAAGAGATAAGTTCTTTCAAATAGGCAGCACTCTATCCATATACATTCAAACCCACTTCGTCATGAAACTTTACACTCTCTCCACCTAAATTGTGGAGGAGGAGAGCCTTGAGCACTTAGGAGGAAATCGGTCGGAGGGGGCGGAGTTACCATGGCCGGTTGAACAGACGTCTTTCCTCCAGCTCTTGTGGAAATATAGCAAAA